AGGTTGGGCTATAACTTTTGGATCAACAAATTTTTGAGAAAATCCACATCAAAGCCTCAGTTCTACAACATTTGCATTCTAGACAGACACATCTTATATGTGGGTAGATCTGACTTCCAGTGTATACAGATAGAGGACTGAGGCTTCTGTTTGGGCTGATAGCAGTGACTTGGGAGGTGCCTATATGTATTTTACTATGTGTAGATACAGAGAGGTTTCTATCATTGCACTTTTTGCTATCATGATTTAAATGGGATACACTCTAGAGAGATCTTAAACAAAAAAACTTTTTTAAACTAACATCTTTTGCCTTTAAAAAAAAAAAAAACACTCTGGTTATGGTTTATTGATGTGGTATTAAAGGTGAATTCCTCATTTTGTAGACTTATGGCTATGAACATATATTGACCTTAAACAACTTAGAAAAGGCTGGACTCCTGAAACCTCAGACAAGTGGCAGGAATAATTATCCAACGATCAGGAAGACCCTGCGCTTATGGATGGATGATGTTAATGAACAGGTAATCAGATGCCTCAGCACTGAGCATAACATCTAACAATACAGGATTATGTGCAGCAGGAAAACCCTCATAGTTTTATTTTCTTATTTCTGTGGTGCTGTTTTGCAGCCTGAAGTAACGGTCACCTGCTGCTCATACTCTGCTCTCTCCTGCAGAACCCCAACGATATCTCCTACGTGTACAGTGGCTACGCTCCGCTGAGCGTACGCCTGGCACAGCTACTGGCTCGGCCAGGGTGGCGGAGCATAGAGGAGGTTTTAAAGATGCTGCCGGGTCCCCATTTTGAGGAGAGGCAGCAGTTGCCTACTGGCCTTCAGAAAAAGCGTAAGTTTTGCTTTGCTTTCCCATTTTTTTAAAGGGAGGTGCATCTTTCTTAGGCTGCAGTGAAGCAAACTGAAATCAGGGCTGGCATCTATCTCATCGCCCTGTCCCACTGCGGTATTATAGCCACCTAAGCCACTTTTGACAGATGGCTTTCTGGCCTCTTTAAAACATCCCATCACATATCCGGCCTGCTATTAATGCGTAGCACCATGTGCACTGCAAGTCCTGTAGAGCTGTATGTTTGTTTAACTTCTCATCAGAGTACTAAAATAAACCCTAACATTTACAAAGAAGGTCAGCATCACTCCCTAGTTTTAAGCCTGGGCAGGCAGAAGCACATCCTGTAGGGAGACTCTGGAGCTGGGAGTAGAGCGCATTTCTGGGCCACAGCCTGGTATTCTGCCCAGTAAGTTTCTTCTCTAATTCAGCTGCTGTCTTTATTTTAGTTTTAAGTAATTTCAAATTTGACTGACAGTTGATGGTTAGGAGATGTAAAAATAAAACTAAGACAACCTGTACATTTCTCTGAATACACAGGTCAACATGGTGAGAACCGAGTCACTCTGGTGTTCTTCCTGGGAGGTGTAACATATGCAGAAATTGCTGCACTGAGATTTCTGTCCCAAATGGAAGATGGAGGCACAGAGTATGTCATTGCCACTACAAAACTGATCAATGGAACAAGCTGGATCAAATCCTTGATGGAAAAACTGGAGCCTGCCCCTTTCTAGGGTCTGTGGCAAGAGACAGTAAATGTGAGAGGCTCTGTGGGACACAGGCACGTCAGCTTCTGGTCTTCTGGCATGGCTGCTTGAACACTGGAGAAACATGACAATGAAAGAAGCTTTCCTGAGGCCAGCTCATGATGCAGTTACCCTCATCCCTCTCCACACTTGTGTTCTACTGTTTGCAGAACTTCCTGGTAGATAAGCAGTGGTGAAAGGCACTAACACTGGGAGAAGGAGCGATCGCTGCTCATGGTCTGAATTGTCAAACAAGAACTGGAGGAGTGGGGATTTGCCCTGTTCCTTCTATTTGGCAAATTTGTTTGTTTTTTTGGGTTTTTTTGTTTTTTTTTTTTCAGTTTAGTTTTAGTGGGAGATGTGATTACTTCTTTTTACCCTCCTGAGGTGCTGAGGAGGTAGGATATTCTCTATTCTATTCTCAATTCCTGATTTCACACTGATATTACCAGTCTGTCTGTCTCTCCCTGGTACCTGACAGATTCCATCACTGCACTGGATCTGTTTCTGTTGGAGATCTGTACTCCGCTGTACCTCTGCTGTACCCAGGCTTCAGTTTCTTGCTTATCATTCTGATGAAAGGCAAGGAATTTGTGCTTCCCCCAGCTTCAGCACATTTACATCAACAGGCAGCAGCAAGGGCCAGGCCCCAGTAGCTACATTTTCTTACATCCTTGGAAGCTGACTGTACAGTGGAAAGAGAACTGCTGTAAAGGGGAAGCAATAACTTCTTTACTGCATAGGTTTAGAAAGGTCATGGCTCTTAAGCATCCAGCATCGTGCACCTGCAGGACCTGCTTAGCCTGTGTGGTGCCATAACAGGCTGGCTGTTAGGGTTAGTTGCCTGTAGGCCACACTCAAGTCCACTGTCCTGCACGCCTTGGCCAAGGCATTCGTTGGGTTTCCTGCAGCAACAGCACTGACTATGACTACAATAAACTGCACCCAAATTATGAGGGAGATGCTTGAGCCTTTTACTTCAATTACCCTCTGACAGGCTTGGTGTGAGGTGGCTTGTTTGTCCTGTGTACACCCACTTGGCTCTGGAAGGCAACTCCAGGGTACGAATGACATCAGTGTGGCAAAAGCTTGTGTTTGAAGACACACAGACACTCCCCACATGGGACTCAGGCCAAAGATAGCTACATCAGTGACCCAGTAAACAGCGGGTTTAAAACACACTTTTTTCACACCCCCTGTTCAGTTTATAAATTGCAGTACTTGTTGCCACAAGCTGTTGTAGAGCCCAAAATTATAAAATGGAATTTTCCATGGTTTTGGTGGCAGGGCCCGTGGTGTTGCTGGCTCCAGAAGCCTCAGGTTTGCTAATGCTAGAGCCTGGGAGCACAGACCAGGGGTTGTTGCTTATGCCCATGCAACCACCAGGGAGTCTGTTTCACACTGCATTGCACTCTTAAATTGTTAAAAACAACTAAAGCAAAGCACCCCACACCTTAGCACTCTATTAGCAAACATTTCTGCTCTTAATTATCTTGCATAATACATAATATGTCACAAAAAAGCCCTTTAGTTTTTCCAAGTTCTTACAGTTATGACTGTGGGTTTCAGTCTGTTTTGTTTTGTAAGATTGAGTTCTGCCAAATGAGCCCCTTCACAGAGCCCCTCTGTCTGCTTAACTCCAGTTGGCTTATTAGAATAAAATAAAAATGTATTTGATTTTTTTTTTGAAAGTGTTTGCTCTGTCTCCCTCTCTGGAACACAAAAATAAATAAAATAAAACAAAACCCTCCACTGTGGTAGCTGTGTCCTTCTCCCCTGCCCCGGCATAACTGAATTACTTAAATTGAGCCTACTTTACTAACATCTGGATGTTTTTCCTTTAAGCTTCTACATTAATTACATTCTGTTCTGCCACCTAACATACTACATCAAAAATACCTATAGGATTTCGTGACTACTAAAGAAAAATATATTTTAATCATTTGAGATGTTTTATTTCAGGTGGGTAGGCAACTTGCAGCCTTGTCTTGCAGAAACAAGATGCTGCAACTTTGACAATAATGCAAGGAGGAAACATGGATTGCCTTGTTCTACATTATTTCTGCAGTTCCACTGTAAAGTAGGCAATTTCACAGTATTTAAAAAGAAAATTGAAGTAGCTTTGGGTTAAAAATTAGATGTTACTGTGCAGAAAAAAACATGAAGAAACAATGTGATTCACTGCAATCCTTGCAGAGTATCCTTGGCTTGGTCTTGAGTGTCTTTGTACACAATTTCCAGAAATATATAGGTTTTTTAAATCTTAAGAACTAATTGCAATGAAATTAATATCTCCAATTGGGCAAGTTTGTGGACTAAGTTCAAGACATAAAAGCTAATTCAACAACTTGCTTACCTTTTCACTTGGACCAGCACAGGTGTGTGTTAGTAACACTGAAGGCAGAACTTACATCTAAAATAGTTTATGCCAGACACTTGGTAAACTTGAATTTACCAACAACACTACTGCATATTTTTTTGCAGATTGTAGCCTGCACGACCACCAAGCCAGAGCCATGTGGATGCTCCACCTAGACAAAGTCTCTTCCTGGAACCATTCAACAACAACAGCAAAAAATAAAAGCCATCTTGACTTTGATTGATTCTCTGGAGAAGCAATTACTACTTAACAGGCTTCCTGAGCAGCTTGATTATGTTCTGCTTCTGTCTAAGGCCTTGCTGACCATGCGGGTAATAATTTGATAACAAGAGAGCCTGATTAAATTAAGGGGCCATTTTCTACATCATAATATCTTTGTAGGTAAGAGATTTGATTTGCAGTATGTACTCTTCCTTTTCTCTGCTGTCTGTGGTTTACAAGCAAAAAAAAGAAAACATTACCCAACTTCCACCCTGAAAGACTTTCACTTTTCATATACCATTATCAGAAAGCAGTTTTGCTAAAAACACATCTCACTTCCCTCCTCATCCCCCTTGCTGCAAAAAAGCTTTAGCGCTTGCTCTCTAAAACGTAGGGATGACTTCTTGAGTGTGTAAGGGTGAAGCTAGAGCAGTGAACTACCTTCAGGTCTGGGATTAGGCTGTCTTCAGCACTCACTTGCTTGTGATAGAAAAGCCCGACTCAGCCCACACAGTTCCACCCTGTAATGTGCTGCTGATCTGGGACAATCCCCAGCTGTGTGTGAGCATCCTCCTCCCTGAGTGGCCCCAGAGGCACGGGGCACTCAGAGAACGGAGCAAGAAGCACAACAAGCAGCCTTCCAGATATATGCAGAATAAGAAGTGTAGGATGACACAACGCTTTGTTAGAGGGGAAAAAAACCCCACATTTAAAGAAATGCAGGTTTTGACCTGGTAACGCTAAGCCATGGCCCCTCAACTCACAAAATACTGTTGACAAAAGCACTCTGGGGAAGGGGAGCTACTTGGCAAGCTCTGTACTGCTGCGCTGCACAGAGAGCGCAAAGGCGCTATGTCATATCATAACTGCTCCTGACCACACCTAGTGTATTAGTCCTCTTGTGGGCTGCAAACACAACCTCATTACTCCCGACTCCCAGACAAGCAGCTCAGAAGGGGATCAAACTACAGCAAAAAACATTTAGAAGCCAGAAATTCCAGGGACAGCTGCAGAACAAAACTAGAGAAATAGGAACTTTACGAAGTAGAGCTCATCATCTACCAGGGTAAGCAGTTTACTTCTTTATCAACATCTTTTTAGATAATCAGAAATCACGTAAAGCCTATAGATAGAAAACATCAATACTTTGAACAACTGGGAAACCACGGCTGATTTTAAAATATAATAGCTCCTATAACGTATACATGTATCTGAGCTTAGAATTAAATGACTGAACTCTTTAATAAGACCAAAAGAGTGAACTTATTTTAATCAGAAAGTGAACTATCAATCACAAAAGCTCTTTAAAAAATATTCTAAGTGGCAGAATGAGAATTCAGTTTAGTTTGGGTGGCTTTAGACTGCTTAGATGAGAAATAATCCTTTTAAGTTAGCTTTATCTTAAGTCTGGTTTTATATTCCCTTTATGTGCTTGACCAAGAGTGTGGCTATTTTTGATCAGGTACAGTTATGATCAAAATTTTAAAAAAACACGTAAATTGGAGAGAGGGTAGAATTTTTTTTTTAGATGGGTCTTCACAGGTTTAAGCCTAAGGAGCCAACAACTTTTGTGAGAATGTTCAGCTTTTATTTTAAACTAGCAAATGAGTAACTTTTAAAGAAGTGATATATGACTTTCAAATACAGCTAGAAGATTATTTCTAAAGCATCTTATCCTGTGTCTCCCATTTAAAAGTTATTTTTAACATGAGATATAAATATTTGCCTGTGCAAACTAGTATTTAAACCCCAGTTTTCATCATTCTTAAACAAAAGGCTCAGTTTGTGCCAGTATCTCTATTAGATGCAATCATATCATTAAATATTAACGGTGGCTTCCTTGGAGGAATTGACCACTTTGATCAGAACACACTGTTGGTAATGCACCATCAGCGACCGCTCTGAATGTGAAGCTTCCTGGATGCACAGCCACTGACACAGGGGGCAAGATACAGGAGCCAGCTGCACTCTGCAAGGCCCCCTGGCAGCGTCCTCTGTGCATCTATAGTTAATTTTCTTAGTCCTGATTTGGAGACTTTGATCAGCTCCTGAACTCTTTTTCAACACTGAGCAGCTAGGAAACCCTGTACCAGTCGCAGAACCAGCACACACAAGCCCAACCTGACAATAACAATCTTCTTAGAAGGATGGGTGACCATTAACCCTCCTGAACACAGCCATTTCTCCCCACAACAGAGCCACCCCATCAGCTCTGCAGTCTCCTTGCTGGGAAAGACTCATCCTGTCCTTCTGCTTACAGAGCGGGGAGGAGCACGGCAGCAGCCAGCCCCAGAGATCCTACCTGACGTGGAAAACCATGCCGGACTCCTTCACCGTCCACTTCCTCAAGGTACTGAAGGAGCTGCTGGCCTTCGTGCTGTTCAGTTATACCGTGCTGGTCGGGGCACTGCTGCTCGCCGGCTGGACGACCTACTTCTTGGTGCTTAAATGAGAGCTCCTCTTCTGCTCCTGCAGCCATGGGCTGGCCAGAGGCAACAGGCTCCACCGTGCAGCTCGTCCAGCGCATCTGCTCCACACGCAGGATGGCAGCTCCTTCCCCCTTCCTGACTCTGCAAGCGTTTTGTTTCGTTACTACCTAATCACAATCTTATTTTCTTATGTAAAAAGAATAAAGATTTAAAAAAAAAAAAAAAAAAGTATCTACATGCATGCACTTTACTGATCTTTGTGGCTTTTGCAGATTGTGTCTCCTAGACATAAACCTCTGTTCCCCGAAACATTTAAAAGCCTCCCAGCAGTTTTCTCCTGAGATTCCCACCCCATGCCCCACCTCGAGAGCACGGCAGTCTGGGAACACAGTGGAGGGACAGGAGGGATGTAAAACGATTCAAACATGACCAACATCTCAAGTAAACAAGTCCTGCCTTGTCTAACTCTGCCTCATTAAGGGTGTGAGGGCAGAAATACAGAAATTAATTTGTTTTCTAGCACTCCTGGGAAAGACATTTCAAATCACCAGATGGTTTCCCTCTTTCTACATTTTATGTGGTATACTTTATTGGGAGGGAGCACCAACACCACACTATCTACAGGCATATTATTTGGTGCTCTCAATTGTGCAACACTTTTCAAGAAATGCTTAAACCATGTAGTTAGCTGAAAGATGTGCCTGCGATACAGCACTGCCTTGCTAAAACTAAACTGTGCTGAGTAAACTGAGTCTCAGAGAGAATAAAAATTTCTGGTATGTACCAAAATAATAGATTTAACTGATCAAGGTGTTTCACGTAGAACTATACAGGAAACCTTTGCTGGAGATTAGCACAAACCAGAAGCTAAACAGCACTATAAACTCTTGAGAAACAAAGATGAATTAAATCTGAGGGAATGGGGAGCAGCACCTGTGGCAGTCAGTGAGTGACACTTCTGATGATGACCCGGCACACAGCTGAGGTCTCTTATCTGCCGAGTCGGGCTGGCCTCTCAGCTGTCTCTGAGCAGGGGAACACCGAGGAACCGGCCAAGCGCAGCTTGGGCTGAGAGCTCCCAACGCCATTTCTGCTGCCAAAGCCCGTGCCGGCGCCTTGCAGGGCAGAGCAGCCGCTGGGGCAGCCCGGGGCGGCGGGAGCAGCCAGCCCCGCAGGCTGAGGGGACACCCGCCCCCCATCTCCGCCCTCACAGCCCAGCGCGCGCCTCTCCCGCCTCCCGGCTCGGGGCGGCCACGTGCCCGCCCCCCCCCTCTCCGCGCATGCGCTGCCTGCCACACCCACTGGGCAGCCAGCCCCGCCCGCTCCGGGACACGCTGACGTCACTGCCGGCGTACCTCCCCCCTCCAGTCACAAGATGGCGGCGGGCAGGCGCTGGCTGCGGAGCTGCTGCTTCCTCATCAGGTACCGCGGTCGGTGCCGCCGCTCCGTGTCCCCAGAGCGGCCCCAACGCCCCTTCTCTGCCTCGTGCCGCCGCGACGCAAGCGGGAGGAGCTGTGGAACCCGCCCGGCGCTCGCCGCGAGTGGGCTGCAGTTTAAGAGGACGCGGCCTAGAGAAAAGGAAAACTGACCAGTTATTTTCATAAAATTGCTCTACAACAAAAAAAAAAAAAAATCTCCTAATTGAGTAGTTCTGTTTATCCGCTCGAGTGTTTCAGGGATAGGCCCTGGGTCCGCAGACACTTACACAGCACTAGGTGTAAATAAAACTGACTACAGGAGGCCCCAGCTGCCACTGGATTGCAGCAAACCATTACCAGTCTTATTGGTCACCTGCATGTACTGTATACCACTTTTAAGCATGCTTTTTAATTTTTTTTCCGATGTTATTGAATATTAGTAGTGCATTGATACCAGATAAGATACATTTCCTCTCTCAAAGGATTAATAATGCACTAGTTACTGTGCTTGTTTTCTTTTCTTGCACATAATTAAGTAATAGAGTTTAAACCGAACTTACTATTATGCAGCCACGTTACAGAAGCTTGGTAGAGACCAGGTCACCTAGAACAGCTTCTAGGTGTTCTTTTCCTCTTTGATACTTATTTCCCACCACACGCTGGTTATTTCTTGGTGCTTAACTTTGTTTCTTGCACTTCCAGGCAAAGCTTCCCTGTTCTGGCCAATATCAGGCGATGCTGCCTCTCGGGCATGAACGGGCGGTGGCACCGAATGGTGGGTGCGGGGCTGGGAGCGGCTTTGTGTGCAGTCCCAGTGATGGAGGTAACGTATCAGGAGCGAGGTGCACACAGCACCCGCTGGTTAGAGACGGTTTAATATTCAAAAACACTTGCTTAGCATTTTACAAACTAGTACTCACCCTCGGAATTGTATTCCTTCTTGGGGATCAGAGGTGTTTAAGCTGTGTAGTTGTTAAGGAAGAGGAATGAGAAAGACACTGTCTACCTTGAGAAACACCTTGCAGAAAGAGTTGTCTTGTTTTACAATGGCAAAACAGCAGGGAGAATGAGGCTGCCCAGCCTTGTAACTAACAGTGGTGCTTTTTCTTACCATTATTTGTTACTAAACATCCATACGAAAGTCGCTGTAAAGATCATGCAAATGTCTTGTCTTTCAGAAACAGAACTCCGTTTCTCTCAGTAACGATGCCTTGATTAAAAGAGCAGTTTCCTTGGTAACAGATAGTACTTCTACACTCCTCTCTCAAACAACATACGCATTGATTGAAGCATTGACAGAGTATACAAAGGTAAGCTGAGAGATGATGTGCTTTGCTAGCAAGTTAGTACTGGAAATACTAAATTATTTGGCACAAACTACACCTGCTAAACTATACTTAAAATGGACTTTGTTTTTCTATGGATTTTAAGAAAAAAGGTTTGGGGGTTTGAAGATACCAGGTTCCTAAGAAACAGTGGAGTAGGGCTCACTGTTCTACTACACACCAAACGTGGAAGTTATTTTTACCTTTGTTAGACTGTTGCCTTAAGCTTGAACTTAAGCTGAAATGACCCATCTCAGAACTGGGGCTAAAGAAACATAACAGTTATCAGATACCTGCGTACCAAGTAAGTAGGATACGGCTGAAACAACCACATACAGTTTTAATTTTATAAACAAGTGCCAATTTGAGTAAAGTATTGCATTCCAGTTTACTTCCTTATTAGTATGGCAAGTGCACAAAGAGATGCTACCCACAGCACTACTGTAGGCAGACAGCAAATGCTGTCAGTGCCTCCAAAATTGCGGTGACCTTGAGAACAAAGCACCTTTGGAACTATTCCAGCAGTTTTGCCAATGAAGACCAGTTAACTCTGTATAGATTGTCACATAATTGTGTGAAATGATTTCTTTGCAGGCAGTTTATACACTGGTGTCTCTCTACAAGCAATATGCAAATCTTCTTGGGAAAATGAACTCAGAGGAGGTGGATGCCGTCTGGCAGGTCGTGATAGGAGCCAGAGTTGATGTAAGCCATCGTCTCCCTTCAGTCAGCAATCTGCCTCTTAAAACTCTGCTCAGAAAGTTCTCATCTCGCTTGCTCACCTTTTCATGAAGGCACTGTTTGGAAGAGCATTCAGATAGTGTTACATCAAATTAAGTAATAATTTGTTTTACTCCTAGATGACAACAAAACAGCAGGAATACCTAAGGCTGGAATCCAGCTGGATGACAGCACTGCGTCTTTCAGAGATGGCAGCAGAAGCTGCATATCAATCAGGTAAGCACAAGTAGGAATAAGTAGTTTCCTTCCTCTAGAATTTAGGCACTGCTTATTGAATGAGAATGGAATTGAGACAGACAAAGAGTATAAATTCAGTTAACATACCAATTTACAAGCAGTGCCTGGTTTTTAGAGATGCTGAGAACTTACGTTCTTTTATTGGCTACAGGTCTAGTAGAAGCGTTCTGAGAACCGGGCCTGAATCTTCACATGTGGTTTAAATCAAGACCAACCGTGCAAAAAAAAGTGTTTGAAGCAAGTGTTTAGTCATTTTTAAATGCAGTGTTGAAACAGTTCTGGGAGCTGCAGAAATAAAGATTCCCAGGGGACCTAGCAAGTCTCTCTAGCTGTCTTCGCTTTTATTGAAGTGTGAGAATATTAGCCTTATACTTGGGAAATATATTAATTTTGGTCTTTTCTCCCCATATACACACTTTCACAAAACATGTAGAGACTTGTTAGCTCCAAGATTGAGTTACGGGCTGACTCAAATCAGCAAAAGTTATTGGAGTGGAGAAGAGGAGGAAAGCAATGGATATACAGGGACACTCTAACTTTGTAAGTGCCTGAAAACACAGAATCTGTAGGAGTGTGGGAGCAAAAGTGTTTCCTAGTTCAGCAGTGTGACAGACATTCCTGCTGCTGGTAGGGGACAGGACAAGGACTTTAAATTCCTGGCACACGATGTCTGAGCTGGGCTTAGTTCTCAAATGCACTAACACAAGCTGATCACTCTGCTCAGACCCCATAACCCACTTGGGTGAGAAGAATTCAAGGGGGGACAAAAAAAATCTCAAAGTAGGCATATTGTTATTTAAGGTAAAGGAACAGTAAATGCATTTAGCATTAACATAGCCCAAGAACCATTGAAACACTTAGCAAAGCAGATGATAATTATAAACAATCCATTCCTTAATTGAAGGTTTGCTGAGTGCTCCTCTAATGCAGTGTGCTTAAATTACTGCTTTTCAGGTGCAGACCAAGCCTCAGTGACAGCCCGCAGCCACATTCAGCTAGTGAAGTCACAGGTGCAAGAAGTGCAACAGCTGTCCCAGAAAGCAGAGACCAAGTTGGCTGAAACTCAAACAGAAGAGCTCATAAAAGCTCAAGGAGAGGAATCCTCATTGCCACAGGGCATTTTAGGAAGTACAGAGGCGGGTGAGGACCCTTACCTTCGGGAGGACTGAAAAGAACTTCAGTGTCACCATAGAATATATGAGAGTCAATTGCAAACTGAAGGGTCCCAAACTTTTAAGTGTGGGATAGTGGGAAACTGCTGAAATAAGCCTATGATTCCATTTCCCCCCTGCCCAAACAGGATTGCTTTAAAATCCCAAGTATCTGAAAGGCCTTGATCTTGTTTGTAACTTACCATGTTTGTAATACTTATGGATTCAATTATTTAAATGTTTAACTATGCAAATGTGAAAATTGCTATCCAGGATAGCTTGTTAATTGTCTCTCTGCTGGGAGGGTCCTACAGCTCATTTGATATGTTTGTGAGAGTTCTCTAACTTAGAGACTAAGTAGGCATCAGCCAAAGAAGTGTAGTTAAAAGTCATTATTTTTAACCTGTGAAGTCAGTGATGTCTGTTAGGAGATACCTTCATTAAACTGTGTAAAAGCATCTATCGTGGGTATGCCCATTCGGCTAAGAGATTAAGCACCGTTTTCTCTTTGACCTTAAAAGTTTACAACAGAGCTGAGTCTGACAACTGCATCAAATTACACTTAACTGCAGTCAGGGGAAACATTTGCTGTAGAGCTGAAAACTCTACAGACTTCCCCAGGCTCCTCTTAGTGAAGTTCTGCAGTTCAGCAGAGCAACCTCTGTCACCCAAGAGTCACCACTTGTAATGTATCTGCCTTTCCCAGGAAGCAAAGGGAGATTTGATTTTCAAGATACTGTAGTTATAAGTGAAGTTGTCGTGGCAACTGTGTACTTCTTTATAAAGCAATGAGCAAAATCAAGTTTTACATATTTGAATGCTTTCCAGCACAAGTTTCAGGAAAATAATTCTCTTTTTGAAAGCTTATTGTTTCACTGCAGACTTCAAAACCACAGGTGTCTTTCACTGTTTTCATTTTCTGACTTGACAGCTTAATGTGAAATTTGTAATATTAACTATAGACAATGTAAACTTAAGCTGAGATTGCTTTGTAGAATAGCATCCACTAGAACTTTATCACTGCTGATTTGAGTCAGTTAATCCCCATGCATCAGGTTTTGTAAGAAAACACACATTAATCATTGTTTTTTCACCACAAATTAGCATCTGATGCACTACATCTGTGCCAAGGTTGCTGTTACTAAATTGAGTTATGCTTGACTAGGAATTTTTTCAACTGTAGCATAAGCCTTTCTATCTGTGTCTCATTTTGCCAGTCTTTTGAACAAATGCAGTCTCAGCTGCACAGCACTGTACATTTATAGATTGAGTAGTGAAGGAAATAAACTACCTATTCTTGCTCCTGCTCTTCAGTGGGTGCTGCTGTATCCAAGGAGGATGGTACAGCGCAGAATTCAAGCTCACGTGAAGATGCCAGTGTCTGATGCGTCAGGAGTCAGGAAGTCCCAAACACAGTTTTGGGCACAAGCATTAGGAAATAAACCACGATCATGAGAGGATTAGTTACAGCAGTGGCACAACCACACCCTTGAGCCAAATGCTTCAGATCAGCCTCTAACCACAACTGCTCTAATTTGTTACATGCTGCAGTTCAAAAACATCTGCCAAGCCACTGACTCATGCACATACAGGTTGTGTTCCTTTCAGGATGCCACAATAATTCTGCTCAGATGCTTGCATGTCAGAGATACAGCTCAAGACAGATGAGTACTGCTACAGGAGTCTGCAAAGCAACTCATCCTTCCCCTCCAGATCCTGCTCCCAGCCCAGCTTCTTGTTTCACCGTATGCCCAGCTCTTGCTTTCCAAGACACAGGCTGTACCCACACAAATCTAACCTTCAGATGTGATAGGAATCACCTAGTCAGTTCAGTCAAGTCAAAATGGGAGTAAGAAGCATATGTGGCTCGTTATCATCTCCAAAATGGGGTGGAAAAGAGCCCCACACCTTTATTAGAAAGTGAGAGTTGCCTGTTGGGGGTTAGCCCATACACCTAAGCCCACAACAGACATGATATCACGCTCTACGTTATGTTACTGAGTTTGCATTTGGAATCATCTAGTGGATCAGAAAAATGCTGCCACAGCAGTTCACAGGGTACCATGGTACCCGTGCTGTCCAGTCTCTTCTCTAGAACAAGCAGCAGTGCCCAGAAATCAGGTTTTGCTGCTGATCCTCAGCCTTGTTTATAAAGCCAAGGTATCTGAAACTATGTGTAGACAACTTGGTACAGCTGATATAGCTAATTAGCCCCTGTTACAGCTGCAGTGAGAAGACACAGCAGCAGCTTGTACAAGACCACACTGAGGATGGACGCACACCGGCTCACCCCTTGACAGAGCAATTTCTGCAGACAAACACTTCCTCACATCTGGCACAGAAACAGCTCATGTGAGAATGGCAACTCCTGATGTAAGTCTGGGTCACGCTGCAGGGCTAAGCTAGAACTACACTGGGAGCTTTAGAGAACCAAGGCAGCAAGGGACAGGATCAAACAAGGTCCAGCGGGACTGCCAGGAGTCCCTCGGCCTGAGGTCCCCCAGCCAGCCTGCCCCAAGAGCTCGTCCTGTCTTGGGATGTCCTTAGTCTGTAGTAGGAGCAAGGATCTCCTGGAAGCACTTCCCAGGCACCTCTGAAAACTCCACAGCTGGTGGGCAGTGAACGTTGGGCAGCTGGCACTAGGGACTGCTGTGACACCAGCACAACACAAATTGTTCCGATTTCTGTCATCACACACTTCCTCTCTACCCACCACCTTTTTCTAAAGCTTTTAGGCTGCTTTCTGCTCACACACAGCACGACAGTTACTGATCTAGCAGCCAGACACTGAAGCTGATGAGCATTGTAAAAGTATCACCAAATCTTAATTTCGTATTTGATCTTTCCTCAAATTACCAACTCCAGCGCACTCATAGATTAATTGATTCTGTATCAATGCATCCTATCTGGACAGGGGCAGAGAGCAGCAGCTGCTCACAACAAAGGAAGTGGTGGCAAGCATGCATTTCCACATACCTTAACCTGTTTAATATCAATGACTCACTTAATGCAAATACCCTGCACCAGATCTCAGCCTTCTATGGCTTTTAGTGCTCTTAGCTTTCAGGAGACCCAAGAATACTCCTGTGAAAACACTTTTCAAAACCGTATTTTATTTATACCCAACGTTACAACAGCAACAACAAAAAACACACCAAACACCTCCCACACAACATGAGAACCTACAGCCACTGTAACTACCACTGTGATTATTCAAGACATACTGCTCCTCTTAAACCCAATCAGAAAGTGTCTGTGTAAAATCTTCCAGTGCAAGTAAACCTGTAATAAACTTCCACAAAATCCAATGGGCCTGAGTCAGAGTCCAGTCCCTTGGATCATCATGCTGTGTTAAGGCAATACATTTTTGAGGCTTCCCCCCCCACCCTTTCTCCTGCTGCCCGGTAGGACCTGTGGGATTGCTGGCCTGGGACAGCAGAGTTGTGCTGCAGTGGACCCAGCAGCACATACTGGCCTTTCTTTTATCCCTTCAAGTAATTTCAATTGCTCTGTCACTCGTTAGTCATCATCAGATTTCCTACATGAGACTGACTTTGGCTGGTGGTCAGACACCAGCCTTGGTATTGCAAGTGGCCCCTCACATGTCACTGTGGCAGCTGTGACTTCCCCTGGCTCCAGCCTGGCTGGGAGGAACCGAGCTGAGTTCCCTGTGCCGTGGCTCACCAAGCCACCAGCCCCGTTCCAGCCCTATGACAATTCAACTGCTTCAGTAACCCACCGATGGAAAAACTTACTGCAAAACAACCCCCTATGGCTCAAGAACAGTCTGTTAGTAGAAGAAACGTTTTTACCACAACCTGATTTTTAGTTTAAGTACCCTGTATCTGTCACCAGTCACAGTCCCGCCGTGCTCATCAGTAGGTTCTTTGCCAACCCCTTCTGTAGTTGTGCGTCACTGATACCGCACACCTAATGCTGTCATCCTTTACCAGCGTCCACATGATCCACATCTCGGTTGGGTTTAGTTTGTGCACAATCATCAGCTCTTTGTACAAGCATGGATCAAAAGGATTGAAAGGTCTCTGGATCCCAAAAGTCTTAAAGCCAGCATGGTTCTTTGGGGTCACCGCCATCTTTGCCAGGCACATTCCCACAAAGACATCATCTATTGGGAAGAGCTCCATGTCCTCTGCGGTGTTCTGGAGGCGGCGCACTGTCTCTCTAGACATTACGTAGCCCCCTCCACCCGCATAGAGCGGATAGAAGGGGTTTCTGTACATGGACTCTGGAATAAAGTATTTGACCTTGGTGTTCCTGATGGGCCGAGCGTTGGCAATCACATCCCCAACAAAGAGATCCTGTTCAGGGTCCAGTTCTTGGAGGAACTCAACAATGTTGTAAGTGTTGACAAAGACATCATCATCACCCTTCAGCACAAACCTGGCATGCAGGCAGTCCTCCATGAACCAGCGGAGGAAATGCAGCTCCTTGAGGGTCAAGTTGAAGAAGTTGTCAATGAAATCCCACTGCAAGATGTCATCAAACTCCTGGCTCTCATAAGCCAGCAGCTGGTGCAGGGGCTGAACCTGGAATTTGGTTTCCGAGCGCCCCAGGAGGAATACGAGCCTGATGCTCTTGCCACTGATGGAGACCTCCTTCCCCCATGTGTTCCTGATTGCCACCCGTCGGTCTATGTTGATTGGGGAAGACTTGATCACCAGCAAGAGGAACGTCTCTTTGCTACACCTGGAAGGCTTCAGCAGGACTGAGAACTTCCGACAGTGCTTGTATGTTAAGAAGACGCGGTGAAGCTCTGGGAGGGCAAGAGAAGAATTCGCAAGGGTCAAATTTGGCAAACACTTGCTGGGTTCTGCATTGTCCAGAACCGAAGACTTCGGTTTGTGCTTCACTACATCCACTTTCTGGTCCACTGAGGACGCTGCCAACTTCACCTCTTTCTTCATGTAAAAAACCCACGCCAGCAGCATGACTGAAAAGGCGTAAAGGGCGAGGTTTTTAATCCTGGGATACATGGCAACCTCCGGTGCAGAACCCAGGCCCTGTGCCGCCAGAGGAAGACAAGCCGTTTATGAATTAGACCCGCACCCTTCCACTCGCCGCACTCCCCACGCCCGCAGTCACGGAGCGGCACGACACAGCCCGGGGAGCCGCCGGGACGGGGCTCGGCTTTTCGCTTCGCTGTTGATTTCTTGGGTCCCGCTAAGACCGGGAGCTGCCGGCGGGGACCGGAGCGCGGTACCGGGCGCGGCTGCCCCCGAAAGGGCTGGGGAGCCCGGGGAGAGCCCACCCGGGCCGGGGCGTGCAGTCCGGGCTCGGAGCCCGCTGTCCCACCGGTACCCACCCCTGGTGCAAACCCCCGCGCCGCTCTGCAGAACCGGCACCACCGAGACTCACCGGGAACCGCCGCCGCCGTCCCGCTCCGCCAGAGGAGCCCGGACACGCCCCGGACACGCCCCCGTCGGCGGAGGGGAGGGGGGGGGTGCGGGTTGTACCGGGCACTGCGTGCCCCGGGCGCTGCCCCGGCACCTTGCACGCCCCATCCCGCACCACGCACACGAGCAGGGCACGTTGCACGCCCACCCTGCACACCCCACCCCGCACATTGCACGCCCTCTCCTGCACACACCACACTCTGCACGCTCTGGACGTTGCACATCTTATCCAGCACACCCACCCCTGCACACCCACCGCACGCCCTGCACGTTGCACACCCTATCCTGCACACACCACGCTATCCACACCCACCCCACCCACCCCCCACAGCAGCCCCCGCAGGCTGCAGCTCCTACAGAAGCTCAGCAGCAGCCACCAGCCCCGTGGCATCTCCCAGCTCGAGCGATTCAGCTAAACCAGGATCCACACAGCGTCCCTGCGAGTTTTATTTCCTGCTCACTCTTTTGTGACGGACGCATTACTGAGTCTTCCCTACTGCCGTGGCCACGCTCTCCTGGCTCTGGGTACCGGCTGCTGAGGGCCACCGAAGCAGCTGCATCTGGAACTGAACCGTGAGCGGCACCAGCTGGAGACCTTGACCCTCGTCCAGTTCAGCAGAGTCTTTGTTTTTAATTTTTCCTGTGGAGAGAAGTAAATCTGTCACTGTCTTGATGAAGTAAATCACCCTAAAAGCAGTAGCGCGCAGCAGGGGATTGCCCACTCGTTAGCACTGACTTCCAGGCCTTGAGGGAAAATCTATCTGAATATGACTTCGGGTAAGAAGAAGCCCAAAAAGCATCTTTAAGCAGGAAATAATTCTGGGTACAATCTTGCTTTATGTTGTTAAATTCCCCTGTAATTCCTAGGAAAAAAAGAAAGATGCAGAAATAAATCATTTCAAGGATCCAGGAAAATCAAGTGTGGGGTAAAATGAGACCTACGTGAGACTACTTCTGAAGACATCCTTCAATGTCTGGGCAAATTGTTTGCTGGAGACAAAGCTTGCTGCCTTTCCTCTCTTGAACCATCTGGAAGGGATCCCAATTCCTCTGAGAGGACTTATTATTTGTGTGCATTTGCCAACTGAGAGATGCAAATCAGCCTCAGCTCCCGGCTCTGAGAGTGCTGGTCCCTATGCAGCCTCGCTGGACGCGCGGCTGTGGCGGAGCGAGGGCTGGGAGCCGTCCCTGTGCCGCAGAGCGTGGCTGCCATGGTGGTACGTGGGACCTGGGTGATGAGCCAAGTGCCAAATGACCACAGTGCAGTTCAGTGACTTGTGGAGCAGCCAGGGCTTGCAGACACCGTGTGCAGCGGCGCTCGAGCAGCTCACCTGGCCACCCCAGCCACGATTGGGGTGTGCTTGTGAGTTATGAGTCACAGAGGTGTGCATGGCCACAGTACAGTGGGTGTGTAGCAAGCTGTGGGGGAAGCTGATTTTTCAGGGCTATCTTTTTGAAATATGCACTCGGTGGCCTTGCTGTGCCGCCGGCCAGCCTCCACCTGCAGAGGCATAAGGGGACACCAAATTCAGCATGAGACTTGAACCACTCTGGGTTTCCTGCTACGGCAGCAGCCTTCTGTGGGCGCAGCACCATCTCCAGCCACGCAACCCACTGCAGAAACGGCTCATTCTCGCTCAAGCTGAAGGGAATACCTCCTGCATGCACACTGACCACAGGCACTGGGGTGGAAAGGAAGTAAAAAACACCACTGCTAAACTTCAGTTGTTTGACAGCAGCTCCCTGCTTCAGCGACAGTCGGAGCATATATTGCAAAGACACATCTTGATGTGGGGAACAATAATTCAAGGAGGTTTTGCTTCTCAGGTATCTGGGAAGGCCATCAGGCTTCTTTGAGTGCAGACAGTCTAGGACTGCAGGGCTCTGAGATCCTCCTCAAAGATGGGGACCTTGCCATTGGTGACAGGGCATGGAAAATCAGCCTGGAGCTCTTGGGGAAGGGGGTTACTTGCACTCTTAAATTAACAAACAAATCTGATGCCAGAATGGAGACATGAGGCTCCTTGGGTAGCTCCAAGCAGTGCTGGCCCACTCTGTGTTCTCCTTGACCCATGAGCAGCTTTTCAGCATCGCCCTGCCACCCTTTCCCTCCCCCACTTCCTCCTGCTCTTGCATTACCCCTCTGATGAGCTGCCGCTGCTATTTTTGTAGTCAAAAGATTGCTGGAAAAATAACCTGCAAGAGGCAGGGTGAGGTTTGTCTGCAGTGGATTAAGCAACGCTGCTGGCTGAGCAGACTGTGAGCTCTGCACAAGGGGACACCCGTCAGGGGTTGGGGTGGCCTCATCCTGGGAGACAGCAGGGTGGCGGCTGTTCCCAGCCCTGCCGTGGGCTGGCTGGGGCACCTGGGGCTCTCTGTGCACCTCATCCCTAAACCAGAAAGAACAATAAACCCCTCTGCAACGTGCTTTGAGCAGTGAGTTGGAAATGGATGAGGACCTTATTATGCATCCCAGACAGCACTCCCCCCAGCTGCCTGCGCCAGCCCACGCCACCAGCCACAGCTGGAAGCTGACACAGTGGGCAGCGTATCTTTCACCCCAAAATCTGCTTTGCCCTTCTCCCCTGGCACGCAGAGCTGGTAGGTGCGTGTCACTCCTGGGACAGCCGACAGCCCACCCTCGGCACTTGTTCAAACACTGATTCAACAAGGTGTCCGGGCGGGTGTCTAACCTTGCAGCCCACGCACTCAATGGATGTATTCACAGCCCCAAGAGCAGGATGTGAGTAAGCGCCCTGCTCGGCAGCGGAGCTGCCAGGGCGGCGGGGACCTGTGGCAGCCTCCGGGCCGGGCATCGCTGCTGTTTGCTCTCGCACGCACCACCCTTCGCCCAGCCAGCTCCAGTCTCAGTCACCTTTGGCAGACACCATGGTTTTCTGGCTGGCCTGACTTTCTCTCTCTGCTTTTGTTTTTTTGCTCTTCTCTCTTCCTTCTTTACTGTCCTGCGGAGAGAGAAGTTTCCATAGTTAAGCTGTGTTGAAATTCACTGCCCACATCCAGTCCTGTGACAGCCATCGCCATCTGGGTTCTGTCACTGGGATTGAAAACGCAAAGGAAAGGGGTGAGGAAAAGCAGAAGCACAGTGGTGGGGATGCTCAGAAAAGAGAATCTGGGAAATAGAAAGCATCAGTACAGCCAGTGCATGTTGCCATGCTGAGAGAGAGACCATCAGAGGAAGCACGAGTGGTTGCCTTCAGATTCTCAGATGGAAAAATAAACTCATCTGTTTTCTTCATCTTGGCCTATAAAAAGTAGCAGTACTCATTGCTAATATCAACATTAAATAACGATGCCAGCAGTGATGGATCGTGCTTAGGCAGGATTATTTCAGCCCTGTTTTACAGTGAGGAGAACTGAGGGATGGACGGGAGGGATGGACAGGAGGGATGCCTGGGGCAGCTGCAGCCTCACCGCCCTGCCCCGGGACACGCTGCTTACCTTCTCCTCCAGACTTGGTGGCTGCAGCGGCTGCTCAGTGATCAGGATCCCAAAGTCACACACAGTTTCCACCACATCCTCGGTGGCCAGCAAGGTCTCCAGGGTCACCCTCCTGGTGCCCAGGGTCCTCCGAATGGGAGGGTCGTTGCGGAGTTCACATGGCTTCTCCTTTTTTTTCTTGTCCCTGGGCACGGAAACCTGCAGGGCACCAGCATGGGGACAAGCCTCAGCAGAGGGTAGGGGTCCCTTTATCAGACAGCCAGCAACCCCAACCAAGCCCCTTGCCTACCACTGCCTCCAGACCGAGATGTAAAACCGCTGCTGCCTTCCTCCCATAGCAAGGGGGAACTTTGTCAAGAGGTCTGGGATGGAGGAAAGCTTCTCTGACACACCAAACTGGCCCAGAAGAAGGGTCCTCATTCCCCCATCATTATTTTTGCAACTCATATGGTCTTTGGGCATTGTTCTCTCCCAGCATCCTACCTTGGCACGGTCTTTCTGCAGCGGCTGTCTCACCTTCTTCTTAGTGACTGCATTTTCTTCTGGGTCAGCATGGACAGGCCACGAGAGCACCTGCCCAGAGAGAGGAGCTGCAGGGGCTGGGACACCTGAGGATGCAGGTCCAGGATCACCAGCATCCCAGGCTGCCTCCCAGAGGGAAAACAATACCACTGCTGGGCCTCTTGGCAGCTCTTTCCTCTTTCATGCAGCTCTGCCACACACTCACCTTCTCCTCTGTGACCGAGACAGTTGTTCCAGACATCAGGTAGGACTTCAGTCCCACTAAGTCCTTGACAGTGTGCTCCTTCCTGTAGCTGCAGTTGATGGTGTCTGCCCAGGGCTTTCCAGGGGTGACAAACACTTTTGCTGTATAGGGACACAAAAAAAGCTCTAAGGTGAGAGCTCTCCTTCCGGAGGACAGGAAGGACTCCTGGGACATGAGCAGTGCCAATTCATTATCCATCCGTCTCAGCTGCAACCAACGCTGCGAGGGATGTCCTGATGCCACCACATGCCAGGAAGAGCCATAAACCTGCCCTGAGCAGCATGGCAGGGGATTTATAATTCCTCATTACCAGAGTGGGCCTTCGGCTTCTCCATGGCTGCAGGCTCCCACTGGCCCTCTACTGCCCTCGTGTCCTGAGCAGAGCTGTCCACATCCAGGGTGGCCACCATGGGACTCTGATGGATTTTTGTTACCTGGAACAGAGAGGGATCTCTTGGCCAGGGGGAAGAGCTGCCTCTGAAATCCCATTCCCCAGCCCACTCTCATCATGGGGAGAAGAGGCACCAGTGCCAGGGAAGGGGTCTGCTGCAGCCAGCGCGAGGGGGGCTGTGAAGGCACTCCCACGTGCAGGGCAGCGCTGGGCTCCCCGAGAGGGACAGGGAACATGGGCAGCAGGGACTTGTCCTGCCAGATGTGGCCACACATGAATTCCGTCCCCAGTACTGCTGCTGCCTGTGCCAGGTCCATTATAAATGGTCTCGCTCCACAGCCTGGAGGTGAAGTCCCCCCTGCTGTCACCTGCTGCTTTCAGGACCTCAATTAAGCACAAACCTCAGCGCTGCCATCGTTCTCGATCTCATCTCCCTCCGCAAACTCATATGTCACACAGTAGCTGTAGGTAATCACCGGAGCCTCAGAGCCAACCTCCAGCTGCTGAAGAGTGCTGGGATCAGGGACTCCCTTGATCTCCCCAACACTCACAACCACTCGTGCTTCACTCCTGATCAGCTCTAAAAGGAAGACAAGCTGCAGCATGCTCCTTCCAGAGTGAGGAAGGCACAGAGCAAGAGGAAACCTCCAGGACACCGCATCCCACTGCCTGGCATCCCTCCCTGCCACCCTGTGCTAATGCTGTGACAAGTCACTGCCACATGGGGTCACTCCAAAGCCACGCAAACATCTCCTGGCTTGGTTGCTTTGCCTTCCAGGTTAACATTTTAGACTCCGAAGAGCACGTCCAGTGCATAAACTCATTGAGTAGGGGCTGTCAAGAGGGTCTTCCCACCCCCAGGTGTCCTCAGCCCCCTGCTTTTGTCCCAGTTGGGATGTGCCACACTGCAGGGGTGGCATCTCTTTGTGCAGACAGTGCAGCACCCATGTGAGCATCTTCCCCCGTGGAGATGTTCTTCTTTCAGCAGATCAAGACGCAAACGCACTGTCTCAAACCAGACAGTGTCTAGGAAGCAAAGATGGGGGCAGGCCATGATACTGAGGCAGTGATAGGACTAGGCTGTTCTTACAATCTTTGGATCTGACTAAGGCTGAAACTACCTCAATTGTAATTACACTGCTGCAGGGGCCTCTGCCTGTCTCCTCACTTGTACTAGTGGAGTAAAAGGCACAGAGAATCATCTCCATTTGAGGAGAGGCAAGAAGGAAGTCAATACTGGATCCATAGTTTGTCCTGAGGACTCCTAGCTCAACCATGATGAAACCACTTCCTGAATCACACAGGATCAGCATGATCACGTTCAAAGGCTCACCTGACTGCCTCGCCAAACCATGGAACTGGTGCCTCTCGTCAGGCCCTATGTGGATGTCATCGAGGATGGAGAGCTTAGGCAGGCTGTCCACGAGGAAGCCTCTGTAAGTGGGAATGAGAGCCAGTGGGTTCCCCTGGAGCACCAGGACACGGAGCTTCTGCAGACTGGACAGTTGGGAGACCAGGCCCAGCAGATCTGTGAAGTTGTTAAAGCTCAGGTCAAGGGAGACAAGATTTGGCCTAAGGAGAGAACCCAGAAAAGAAGGTTAGGCAAACAGCATCCATCTGAGGATAGAGAACTACTGCCCTGGATCAAAAAAAAAAAGAAACAAAAATTGTGTTTCTCCAGCACAGACTGGGAAATCCAGTGGTACAATCTCAAGAAGTGAATTCCAAATTCCTGAGCCATATGGTCCATTGTCAGTCTTCCCCACAACTCAAAATCATGTTTCTTTAGTATCCATTAACCACCGCACCGCATCATTCAGTGATGCAGCCTAAGCTTTAGATCCTTCCCAGCACAGACTCCCAGGAGGGGCTTTGGGAAGGGCATGGAACAAGGAAGCTTCCCAGGGACATAGGAACTGCAGAGGGCAGGGCGTCAAGGCAGTTCTCCAGGTGATCTCCCCATTCCACACCTTGGCCACAGACCAAGACACCCTCTAAGCATGAGACAGAGGACAGTGAACAGAGATAGAGCGCTCTGCATGAGCATTGGACACAGAGCAAAGAAACAACCCTGCTGAAGGGCCATGATTTCCTAACATGGGCCACCTTGAAGGCTTAAGATCATCCGTTCACATCTGCCCACCTCCCTTTCAGGGAGTTCAGCCTGTGGCGTTACCAGAAATCCGCAGTGAGGTGCTTGTCCTGCAAAGGGCCGCACAGCCTGTTGTATCCCAGCCCCAAGTGCTGCAGCTCTGGAGGAGGCTGAGCACACAGGTCCTGCAGATCAGCCACAGCGTTGCAGCAGAGCTCCAGGACCTGCCCGGGACAGAGGGAACAACAAACGCCCTTTGCAACAAGCCACTGCTGGCAGTCCCTTGAGCTGCACAGCGTTCCCAGGTGGGACCTCCTTCCCCGTGTCCTGCCGTTGCAAGGCACTGCTCACTCACCTTCAGCGCCCGGGGCAGGTTGGCTGAGGTTATCCTGCTGATCTGGTTGGCACTGAGGATGAGCTCCTCCAGCTGCCTTAACTGCAACAGACCCTCATCGACCTCCTCCACCTGCAAAGAGATAGGCTTGGCCAGCGTGTCCCCAAGCCACCTCATGGCCAAGGTGACATGCAGATGTAGTGTTGATTCACATGATGTATGTGTGTGTAACATGGATTAGTGCAACACGCTGGGTGGGGGGAACCAGTAGCTCTACCCCAGCTGCAATAGTGGCACCTGGGAAGACCCTGGGATGGGGAAGGTGTCCTTTTCCCAGGATGTTTTCCTTCCCAACAGGAGGACGTGGCTTCCTGGCTAGGACATGGGTAGCTTTATAGGCACCAGCAGCTGCACTTACTCTTTTGCCAACGATCCGCAGGGACCTGAAGGCCTGGAAGATGTTGGAGCCACAGACGAGCTCAGGCGTCAGCACGGCCATTTCGCGCAGGCGCTGGTCCTGGGGGCTGCAGCCCGGCTGCGGGGCCCAGGGGCTGTGCCGGTCGTTCAGCAGCTCCATCAGTGCCTCGGGGCTCTCCTCACCCAACCACATGGCCTCCTCCTGCCCGTCTGGGGCTGTCCCCAGCCCTGGCTGGCCTCCACAGCAGCTGGTGCATGCAGCAAAGCAGGATTTGTTCTGCAAAAAAGGAGAGGGGAGCAGCAGTGACAGCCTTGCAGACTGTAAACCCCCCACCACGTCCCACAGCTGTGCCCCCCTGGCCCCTCTACCCAGCTGCCACGGCCGCAGGGGAAGTCCCACAGACCCAGGCACCGCAGGTGCTCCCAAAAAGCAGTGGAGACGCTGCAGCAGCCGGGTGCTGCCATCCAGCCCCAGCCTGGCAGGGATTCCCTGTCTCGGAGGCACGTGTCCGTGTCGCTAGGAGATGGCAGGGACGCGGATGCCATGGGGACCGGGGATCAAGCTCTGCAAGCAGGGCCATGGCATGAGCCTGGGATGGCACCGAGCTCCCCAAACTGGGAATAAATCCTTCGTTTTCTGCATCTCCCCCTGGGTTCTGGGGGGCTACTCCACGCCAGGGGAAGGGCAGGCAGCCTCGTGCAGCATTTGCAGGGTGCAGCGTCAGCCCTGTCCCTTGGCCGAGGACCTGTGGCATAGCATTTGTCATTTCACTTATCTACATCCTGAGTGTCACTCAAGTTTCGGGGAGGAAGCAGTCAGGTTCGCAGTTAGCTGTAAAAGCACTGTTCTTCACTTACTGCTGCCACAGCAGCATAAGGCCATCGGAAAACAAAGTTCACAGCTAAAAATACCGGCTCCTACACTTGGAAAAAGTAGATGAGCCCAGGAACAAAAGCCACAGCTCTGTCACAGGTCAGATTCAGGTCTCCGTGCTCTGATGTTTATTTGCTTTTTCCAGTGATAGGTGTTGAGGCAATGGCTACAAATTCCATTTTAGGGAGCCTACGGAGAAGTCTGTATCAGCAAAACTTCACCAAATGAATTGCAGCTGCTTTGTAGCATCTGGCAGTTACGTGGTGGAAAGCTGAACTTCCACTCAGGTTGGGTTTTACAGGACAGATGCTGATCTCCTCCCTTATCAGCTCAGCAGCTATCACAGCTGTGTACAGATTGGAAAGGATGTGCAGAGCATGCACACGCCGAGAGATAGTGGCATACCATGGAGTGGAATAACCAGGCAAACCACTATCCTCAGCTCAGTAGAAAATGAAGTCAAATCTTCTAAAAATCTTTGAAAGAGTCTTACCATTGGTTGAATCGTGTTTCGTGGAAAAGCCAAACTGTAAGAATGCTGCTTCTTTTATTTGTATCGCTGTTACAAATAATTGGGCCCCATTGCCATCAGTGCTGCGCAGAGATGCTCCCTGCTCTAGGACAAAGACCAGCTGCGATTCCTTGTCTGTCCTCCCTGGCCGTACCTGCCTGGGGCAGCTTGAAGGGGACTGGCAGTGCAATCACCCACCTTCCACACATCTTGCAACACACCGTGGGGCACTAACCAGCTGCATCTCTCTGCTTTCTTGGTGTTTCCAAACAAGCAACCCTCCAAGATTATCATTCTACTCCAAAGGAGCCATCTGTACACATCATTGCAGAGATGTTCCTAAAGAACACCCTGCACAAAGAAACATATCTCTCTCTCCATTTTCCCCCCAAATAATCAAAACCTCAAATAAAAGAAGTGTCTGCCACAACTGTCCTTTTCTGGTTGTTCTCTAGCACTCTGCTGTACTGTCTGCTGCCTCACGCTGTAGGCCATGATAATTCATTCTCTTTCTTTGCATTATTTAGCTCCTGGGAACATGGGTCACGCAAGAAGAAATGCATCCCTGTGGGATGGGTGCATTGCTCTGCTTGGCTGTCCGGGGCTCCCTCGCAGCACATGGCAGAACCACGTTCAGTTTGTGCATCTCCATTATTGTGGCATCAGGCAAACAACTGAGGCCAGAAGTTATAGGCTGGTGGGACCAGAGTGCAACATGGTACAGGGGAAACAGCCGTTCCCATTTCAAGCCTTGGGAATCAGTTGAGCCCGGAGAACAGTCCTTGTACCAGTCCCAGGCGTTCCAGAGGAGCTCATGTGCACACCAAGCTTTTTATTTTTAGACGTATTATTTCATGTGGAAAAGAGAACTGATTATTTTTACACCAAGCTATTGCTCCTTGACAGCTTTCTGGTGACTTGACAAACATTCATCTTTTAGTCTATGACTACCTTTCAGGCATATCTTTTATTACAGAGGTGGGAAGCACAAGTGTGTATGTGCCACTTTGCATTTTCACGAAGGTATGGTCATAGGGGTTTCCTCTGCCCTCCTTTCTGTCCTAAAGTATCAGTAGTTCTTCAGGTTGTCTTCTGCTCACAGCCTTGTACTTGTAAATCCTAGGAATGATTTTTCTCTGTTTTGCTGTGTATGAGAATTTCCTGCATTTAGTTACTGGAAATGGAAAATAGCTTCAGGGAAGTTAGAGAGACAGGTGAGAAAGATGGGGAGGTGGGATCCTGGAGATTCTCTGCTGGGTTTCGTGAGGGGGTCACACCTCAGCGACAGGGTCTTACAGACATCCAGCAAAGGGATTTATATGTTGACCTGGAGGTCAGACCTGCCTTGCACACAAGCCCCTCAGCTTTTTCACTCCTCACGTTAGCCCATTCTTACATTGACCGTGCAAGAAAAGGTTGCTGGTTTTGGGCACCAATAACATGTTTGTGTGCTCCAACCATGTTTTTAAAAAAACTAGAGATCTAAAACCTACGTTTCGGAGAGCCCAAGGACTTAGATGGGATGGCTAAGTCAAGAGTCCTGAACTCCTAGTCAGATAGATGATACAGGTCAGCATCCGTGTCAGTTTGAAACTGCACCTAGATCTCAATCAGCGAAGACGCATTTGAACCAACTTTTGATGTAATCTTTCAAAAAAGAAAAAAACCCAAACTATCACCCGCAAAAAAAAACCATGGAGGAGCCACTGACGCAAAACTCCACAGTACTTAAATACAGCTTGGCTGTCCACATCTACAGCACTCCAGGCAACAAACAGCTTGAACACCAACAACCAGCCAGCTGGTGGCTAAGTCAGCTGCTCTCCAAGCCCACCATGAAACGCCGAGCAGGTGGGTGTGACTTAACCTTGCTATGCACTGTAAGGTCACATTGGTTGATGTTCATCACTAGCTCAGCCACTTAACGTCTATACACTTTAGAAATTTAGCATGCTGCACAAAACCAGGAAGTTTTGCAAAGATGATGCAGAGGCTTGAGACTAATCATTGTATTCGTTGTTTTTTGTTTGTTCTTTTTTCTTTCCCCCCCCCTCTTTATTTGAATGCAGAGATCAACAGGTTTGCAATCTTCCTCTTCTGTTCACTGGTTCCTTTGGGCTCCTTGGCACCAACAGCTACCTCAGAAGAAAGTGCATCTACCGCAGGAGAGAGACAGAAGCATTTCACTACCAGAATAAAGCCCTTGGCAGCAGTGATAGAAAAGCAAGCAACTACCTTGTTCAAAAACTACGTAAGTGTACTATTTTGCATTTAATGTGTCTATATCTGTGGAGAAATCTCTTGAATTGTTATAAAACACTGGGAAGACCATCAGAAAAGAAATACTTGGGTTAGAACCTAAAAGAGTCTCTTTTCTGTATTCTATACCAGAAGGAAAGCTTTTACATTGCATTATTTTAGGGCAGAGTTGGAGCATTGTCTAGGGCAGCTAGGGAAAGCTTGGGCAACTTTGCCTCAGCTAACTGCTAGCTGTGGTCTTCCAGACTAAATGCATTGTTCCTTCTTGCTCTCCTGAGTCACGCTGGGCTTGAAGCTGGCATCTTTTTGGAGGAAACTAGTCAGATCACTGGAAACATGGGGAGAATTGCCTTCCTGTTTGGTCTGGTCCTAGCATTAGAGCAGTTAGGAACACTTCTGCTGAAAATCCTGCTCACCCTTTCCTTCCTTGGAGATGGAAAAATGTGCACTGAGCCCAAGTGTCAATGCTTCAGATAAATTTCAGTTCCTGGGAACAGGTTCCCAAGAGTACATTGATAAAAATCAATGTAAACATTTCCCCCAAATTCATTCTTGAAATCAAAACCATCTCTGCTGAAACAGATGAAAATATGCTCAGGCCAAAGCAAATCTCTTGCATGAGTAAATTTTGCCCATATGGCAAAGGAAAACAAACTAAAACACTTAGAAAAGCTGAAAACAAAGGCAAGCAGGGTATTAAGATAGAAAGTACTGCACAATTATAGCCACAGATAGTGTGCGATACCTAAGTGATAAAAGAAATGTAGGTGTTAATGCAGCTAATGAGCAATAACAAAAAAACCCCAAGCATACAAACGGAAAGGCAGGTGTGTACGTGCCTAGACATTCAAACACGAAGTGACTACCAGGAAAGATGTAAACCAAAAGATTAATAATTTCTCTCTCCTCTTCCTCCCCTACAGAATGCGTGTAGCTCTGTGACGCCCAAAACTGCAGGCTGGCTAAATGCTAACTCCCAAGCCAAAGACATGGTGAAGAAAATACCCGAATGCCCAGCTTTTGATGCAGATTGCTGCGTTTTCCACATTCTTCACAACATTTTGCAGAACCTGAGAAGCGATGTAGAATTAATCTGTGGTAAGAATTTAACTCGGTTTGTCGATGCAAATATCAATCAGCTAAGTGTAACACTGATTGAACGAGCTGCGTTTTACACCTGCACCAAGGACCTCCCGCAGACAGATCATAGCCAGGCCCAGAGGATGAAAATGGCAGAGAAGAAGACATACATCTGGCTGGTTTTACAGAAATATGAACAATTCATGCAAAATACGACAAAAATGTATTCTGCAGTAGAAATGTAACATGCCAGGATGAAAAAAATAACTTTAAGATAGTAGAGATTTAGCTGAATGTGACCTACCAGTAGTTATGTGATCAATTTGATGTCAGGAACAACATTGATAATGTACTTGCTATTCTACATATTATAACTGCATCATCTAGTTTAATTTAATATTTAAAGGATGAATGTCTTAAGTTATTGTTTGTATTTATTATAAAACTATTTATACTGTTTTATTTGCAACAGCATA